ATCTATCTATCTATCTATCTATCTATCTATCTATCTATCTATCTATCCATCTCAGCTTAGTGAAGGCTCAGGCACCTGTCGTAGGCCATGGCCCCCAGAATGGTTTGCACCGCTACACCATAGGTGTGCACGCAGAAGCCCTGGGCGATGGCGGGCGCGTAGCCGATCTTCTTCTCTCCCAGCAGGAAGTGCATCATGAGTCGGGGAAGCACGGCCGTGGCCCCCAGCAGGTCACACACCACCAGGTGGCACACCATCACAAACATGGGTCTGTGCAGGTTGCGCTCCAGCAGGATGACGCTTGCCACCACGCCATTCCCCAGCAGCACCAGCAGGTAGGCCAGCAGAGCCAGGAGGAACAGGAAGGGGCCCTGGCCCGGGGCCACGTCGAAGCCCTCCAGCTCAAACACGATGGGCTGCTGGAGAGGAGCCACAAGGCTCTGGTTCTCCATCCAGGACAGGGCGCGTCTGCGATCGACCCAAAGCTCCTAAACCAAGCCTTGAATCAAATGGCAGAAAACCAGACTCAGCCGCTCAAATCACTCAGCATCTAAAAACCTGACAAAAAAACAGCTTCAAAGACAGCCAAAGGAATCTGAAGCAGATCTCTAACATTCCCGGCTCGCCGCGCTCGTCTGGCAGCACTGACTCTCTCAGCGGTCTCCCTTTAAATGATCAACATTTGATGGTTTCATAGCTGTGCTATGGGAACACCAACCACAGCCCAGATCCCATCAGCCAGTCACCAAAGCCTCAAACACCACTACAGCTTTGTTCTGCTTTGGGAGGGGAATTAAGCCGCCCTGAGTCTGATAAAACAATAAACTCATTATCTGCTGGTTGCTTCTGCTTTTACAGCCTCTGTGTGCTGGGAGCACGGCCAGGTCCAGGCAGGACCCCTCTAAATGTACTTCCCCCTAAAACCAACCCCCCAACGTTGATTATTAAATGTCAAAGGCAATGCCATCTTCCCCTATTGGTCCTCGCATCTGACTCCATCTGGACTCTAGGTCTTCAGGGTCTTCAACAGAAAGAACAGAAAACTATCAAAGCCTACATTTATTTGTCCTGGGGAACTCCATCCGGCAGAAGATGGAAAGATTTAAATGTCTCCCAGGAGCCCACTCGGCCTCTCCTTATTCCTGGCTGGCCACTTCAGTGTGAACCTCACAGTATGGTAATTTGGCCTGAAATTTTTAGGTTTGGACGAAACCTGCTGTGTCTCTGTGCTTTTTCTCTGAGTTGCTGAATTAACTGGTGAATCAGAGGCCTGAAGTCTGCAGACATTCAACACACAACACTTCGGTTGTGACATCTTCCTTTTGTATAAATAACTAAATTAAATTTCTGAATCAAACACGATTTCTTGATTTCATCAACTGAGACACAGTGTCTGTGGGGGGCTTTGTAAACCTCCTGAGGACCGAAATGAACCCCCTCTGGCTCTCTGTGAAATACCGGAATAAGGTCTGACCTGATCCGGTTCTACCGCAGGCTGGGGGGGTAACCTCCTCTCACCAGCATCCACTGGGCTCAGCAGGTTCAGACAGAAGAACTCCTACATTTTGGAAACAAACTCACTACTTCAGATTCTGTTGGGTTCTGATTACTATGAGCTTTAAGCCATGTCCAAAAAGCTCAGAGCTACTTGTGTTCATGCACAGGATGAAGGGACACAAAACAAACGCTGGGAGACACAAACTTATTTAACTTTTCCACAAACAGTTCTTACAGCCATTCATCCACCTGTGCTGTACACAAGGCTTTATTTCATTTCATACAATTGGCTTCAAACCAGGAGATTTTCAGTTTTCAGAACATTTGAAAGCTGTTGAGCGGAGACATTGGGGAGGGCAGGGGGATGAGGGGGTTAAAAGCTCTAAATGCACTTATTACCTGAAAGCATGTAGCATCAATTAAGTCATCTTCTAACATATTGCACTCAGGTAAATCGTGGAACTGGTGTTTTAGTTCAGAGTTAAACCCTCTTTTAGTAAGTTACTTTGGTTAAAAGCATCTGCTAAATGCAGAAATGTAAATGTACTACTCATCAAGACAGGAGGAAGGGACACAAAACAAACGCGGGAAGACACAGATGTTTTTCACTTTTCCACAGACAGTTCTTATAGCCATTTTAAGGTTTCAACAGGAGGTCATGACTTTTCCATTAAAAAAGATGTGATACCCAGACATCAGAGTACATATGACCCCCTCACTCCTGCATCTGTGTACATTCACCCCCGCTCCATAAATAATGAGCCTCTTTAACCAGGAGTGATCTCATGTCTGCACAGCTCTTACAGGGAGAAACTCACCACTTTTTTCTCTTAAAGCCTCACGAGTGCATGGACACTTTTACCCTGAACAGTTTTGATAAGAACCTCTTTATTTCTGTAGACTGCACCCCATAGATGACGGGGTTCAGGCTGCCGGGGATGATGTGGAACAATATGGTGCAGAACTTCCTGAAGTCCGAGTACTGAGGGAAGCGGTGCAGAGTGATGATGGACATCCCATTGAACACCATGATCAGGTACACCAGCAGGTGGGTGCTGCAGGTCTTCAGGGCCTTGCTGTTCAGTGCCTGGCTCTTGCTGCTCAAGCAGACTACAGTGATGCGGCTGTAGGTCAGCACCATGCAGCCGATGGAGGCCGTGA